CTGGGATATGGGTCTGATGGGAAGCCATAGTGGGAGCGAGTGAGGGGGGTCAGTTTTGGGATATGGGTCCGATGGGCAGCCATACTTGGTATGAGTTAGGGGGGTGAGTTCTGGGATATGGGTCTGATGGGCAGCCATCGTGGGTATGAGTTAGGGGGGTCAGTTCTGGGATATGGGTTTGATGGGCAGCCATAGTGGGTTGGAGTTAGGGGGGTCAGTTCTGGGATATGGGTAAGGTGAGAAGCTAGAGTGGGTATGAGTTAGGGTGGTGAGTTCTGGGATATGGGTCTGATGGGAAGCCATAGTGGGAGCGAGTGAGGGGGGTCAGTTTTGGGATATGGGTCCGATGGGCAGCCATACTTGGTATGAGTTAGGGGGGTGAGTTCTGGGATATGGGTCTGATGGGCAGCCATCGTGGGTATGAGTTAGGGGGGTGAGTTCTGGGATATGGGTTTGATGGGCAGCCATAGTGGGTTGGAGTTAGGGGGGTCAGTTCTGGGATATGGGTAAGGTGAGAAGCTAGAGTGGGTATGAGTTAGGGTGGTGAGTTCTGGGATATGGGTCTGATGGGAAGCCATAGTGGGAGCGAGTGAGGGGGGTCAGTTTTGGGATATGGGTCCGATGGGCAGCCATACTTGGTATGAGTTAGGGGGGTGAGTTCTGGGATATGGGTCTGATGGGCAGCCATAGTGGGTATGAGTTAGGGGGGTCATTTCTGGGATATGGGTCCGATGGGCAGGCATAGTGGGTTTGAGTTAGGGGGGTCAGTTCTAGGATATGGGTAAGGTGAGAAGCCAGAGTGGGTTTGGGTAAGGGGGGTTATTTCTGGGATATGGGTAAGGGGGGAAGCCATTGTGGGTTTGAGTGGCATGGGGTCTGTTCTGAAAAATGGGTGAGGGGGGAAGCCAGAGTGGGTTTGAGTAAGGGTGGTCGGCTGTGGGATAAGGGCAGCGGGGGAAGCCATAGTGGGTTTGAGTAGGGGGGATCGGTTATGGAATATGGGTCTTTGGGGCAGCCAGAGTGGGTTTGCGTAAGGGGTTGATGGTGGGGCTTGCTGCCCTCATTGCCATGGCTGGGTGGGCTTGCTGCCCTCGTTGCCACGGCTGGGTGGGCTTGCTGCCCTCATTGCCATGGCTGGTGGGGCGTGCCGCCCTCATTGTCATGGCTGTCCTGGCTTGATGCCCTCTCTGGCTTAGAGCACCACTCACTTTCTTTTTTGTTGTCTCCTGCATTGCCACATGTTGCAGATGAGAAAAGTTTTGGCCTTTTGATATGGCACGTGTTCAATGGTCTGCCATTCGCCCACGAGGCCTTTGATTCAGGAATCGTGGTGGCGTTCTTCAAGTACAACCCCCCCCCAATCATCGTTAAGCTTTACCACATCGCATTTTTCTTGATGGGGGTGAGTGGCGCTCATGAGAGCTCGGCGTTCTTGGCGCGGATATGGTTTAGTTTCTACTTGTATCTAAGCTGTTGCCCCACCTTTGTTGCCGTGCCGCAGGTGGAGCACCGCATTCTCCATAATGGCAAGGATCTGGAGCACACTACAGTCAAGAACGCCAGGCTCACCACTGACTACTTGAAGAAGGTGACCGCATGGTGCAGGGCGGCCATCATGGCTCCCTCGGTGAATGGCAGCGGGCCATGGTACAAAGAGGAAAACAAGGCGTGGGCGTTCTCCGCGGAACCTGCTATCCTCATCTCTACCGACGGTATTGAGGACACGGAAGGCATCGACCGGGTCGCACTTTCTGCTGATGCCCCACCAGCATAGACGTCTTGCTACAGGTGTTGGCAAAGGAGGGACCAAGGTAGTTAACTCAAAGGGGGGAGTACTGTAGTTCTACTAGAGGCTTATAAGGGCGTGGTGTGGAGGATGAGCCTCCTAAATTTGGTCCTGCGGGCATGGGATAGCAATGGAAATTGGGGGCGGGATCTGGAATGTGGCATGAGCAAACCCTTTTTGACATGGCGTTGTTCGTCTCAACGCCTGAATGCACATAAATATGTATCATAAAAGGAAATGTTGTACGCGAAATTATCAGTCTTGTTAATTTGCTTTGTTGTGGTGCTGTTTGGCATTGTGTTAGGGGGTTGTTCCAGCTCCATCAAGCGCTTAATTGGGTGTGACCACTTATAGTGCTTCTGGTTGACGTTACACTTAAGTTTTCTGATTCCCTTATCGTGTTCGCTGGTTGCGAGGTACCAGACAGTACAGTGATGTACTTGTTGACGTGGCATACCGAATTTCGGTCGACTCTATCACACCCTCCATCGCTACTGATTGGGCACACCCTAATCCTCTCGCTCAGCCTAGTCGATTTGTTCTTTAGTTGGTCCACCCCCTCCGCAGTTGCATACTTCGACACTTACAGGGTCAGCGCTATCTCGTGTTTTTGCTTCCCCACCCACTCCACCTATCTTGCTTTGGACTGGCACTGTACGCATAGCACAGGGCGCTGCTTCTCCCCACTTTGCGTGGTTTTCTCTTAGTGCCTGGCAGACCGAAACCTTTAGTCACATTATGCCGGCGTCCTGCTTTTACCGCTCGTCGCCGCTCGTTTTACAATAGCATCAATCCCTGGTGGAGCTGGGCCCAAGGCAAGATCGCATATATCTGCGAGTCTCAGGACTACAAGTTCTACTCTTCCCCCCTCCTGTCAAGACAGCTGTCCGCGCCTGAACTAGTGTGATGGCGTCAACCCCTTCGTGCGCCCGCGAGAGCTATTGGACGTCACGTTCTCCGTCCCTCTCTCCGGTCCGCCGGTCGCCAGGCTTCCTTAACGCTGCCGCGTGCTGGTCGTCCCCCCTCCCCCTTTGCCCCCACGACTGGCCGCGCTGCTCGTGCTGCTCTTAGTCGTCGTCTTGCCGACCCACGGTGTGCTCCGGCTTTCGATGGTCTCCAGTTCGAGTCCCGATCAACCCAGGTATGTCTTGCGAGTCGCAGCAATGCTAGTAGTAGTGATGATAGGTCTGCCTCCGCGTTCTCTAAAAAAATCACACAAGCGTGTAACACTGTCGTTGTGGTCTTTCCGTAAGCCCATGTCAACTTTCTGCCCCTGTGTCTTCTCGTCGAGTCCCCCGGTCTTGCCATTGTTTGCTTTAACCTCATTCTCGCCTTATGCCTAGTTCACAATCGCGGATTCCGCCAGCACGACCCCTCAGCCGTTCCCAGCAGCGCAGGGAAGGCGGATGCCAGGACGAGTGGCACAGGCAGTCGTGGCTCGGTGTCGGCGACTGCGGAGTGGCTGCGACCACGGGCGGAAGCAGGCGCCCAGTTCTCCACCCTGAAGAGCACAGAAGACACCCAGCCAGCAGGACGGACTCCTGAGTGCGTCCATAGTCGGCTCACAAGCCTACAGATTGGGAGTATGTCCGCATTTTCCCCCTCAATGTCGTCCTGCGGCGTTTAGTCCTTTTTTGTCGTTTGCTGGTTTTCTCCCTTTCCTGCGGCATGGTTTGGCTACTGCTGTCTATGTTTTACTCCGCAAGGTTGCAATATGGCCCTCTCTGATAACCTTCTTCTCCTGAAACCTCCACCTAACGCCCCCCAGGTTGAACATGCATTTTCTCATGTCTCACAGGGCCGTTGCGCAGTTGGCAAGCTGGATCGCACCAATTCTGGCAGCCTTTGTGGGTCAACTGACGGAGTGAGATGGTGGGAGTGTTAGATGCATCGTGATCTTCTGGTGAGCTACATTCTGTGCTGTCGTTCACGTATTTGTTTGTTTCGTAACCATGACCCCAAATCTCTTAGGTTCAACTGCCCATACACTTCCTTCCCATTCCCGAGAGCGTCCCTCGACTCGTTTGCATCTGTTTCATACATGGCCTCCCCAAACATCCGCCCCCAACTTCCCCCCCCCCCCCCCTCCCCCCCCGCCCATCCCCACCTCACCACCCCCAGCCACACATCCTCCCCCTCCAGGCACGACTCTAGAGGTGTCTGAGCTCAACCTGTTCTCGTCTCTGGGACGGGTGCAAGAGCACATGCGTGGCATGGACGGGTAAGGGCCAGTGGGGAGGGGCTGCGGGGACGTGTTTGGGGGGAATAGTGGGTGGGGGGGGCAGGGAGGGGGGAGGGGGAAGTTGATGCTGGGCAGGGGATGTGTAGGGATGGGCATATGGCTCAGAGTTGGACTGTCACTCATTCGCGCCCCTGCCCCTCCCTCTACCCCCCATTTACCCTGCGCACTCTTCTCCCCTGGATCCCTGTTTTCCATCCCGGCCTAATTCCTCTCGTTATTTTCTCTGCTATCATTCGAGATGTGCAGGTTCATGCGCAGTCTAGTGACGGACGGGTTGCCCGCCGTGCATGCGTAGCGACACATTGAGCCTAGTTTCTTGAGTTCGGGGTGATTTGGCTCCTTTAGCTGAGGCACACAACTACCGTAGTTCTGTCCCCAAGCCACTTGCAATGGTAATTCTTGCCTACGTGCTCCGTTCCAGGCGCTTGGACCACAATTATTGTGGGTTTCGTTTGTTATTTGCTATCTGGCCAGGGTGGATCTTGTGAATGTGTTTGGAGCGACTCCAAGCTTGGTGCCTCGGCAACAGTCGCATGCAGTGCGTTGAGTGCCTTGGTTTATACGGCGCAACCCTGCGACGTACACAGGTCGCAGCCTGCATTCGTTAGAATTTAGGAAATTGGTGGCACGGATTTGGTGATAAAAGCTGTATATGTTTAGGCACGCATACCCCAGCAGGGGATTTTTTCGATTATCGAAGCGCCCCCTGCTAAATCGACCATACCTGTTGTTGTCACGTTTCAATGACGGCTGTACCAGGGCCTACTTTTGGATTTTTACTACTCTGATATTGGGGAGTTGCATTTAGCATTACTCTGAAAATCAGAGTGCATCCTCATAGTTTCACTGATTTGCCAGGGTTTTTTTCCATTTTGAAAAATTTACACTGATAGTGCAGAGGGGAAATTTCCACAACTCTGTGCTGCTGTTATGCACCCCGACAAAGGTTTTGTGATAGACGGATAGACGTACGTTTCATTTCAAATACACATACATACATTAGTCACCATGCTCATCCTCGTCTCCCTCTGAGGCACTCTCACAAGAGCCACTATCCTCCTCTGACTCATCATGCTCCTTGCCCTTGGCAGCATCGCTGCTCCTCTCATAAGCCACCACTTTTGCCTGTCTGCGGTTCTTCTGGCGTCTCCAGATCTCCACGATCTCAGGGTAGTCCATGTCGTACTCCAGGAGGCTAATGGTCATCAGGTCGCCGAGTCTTGCATCACACAGGCTCGTCCTCAGCCAACTCTTGACGGCGTTCTGCCTGCTGAAACCGCGCTCGCACTCGACGGTGCTCAAGGGCAGAACCGCCATCGCCTGCCAGATCCTCATGAGATTCGGATAGCTTTTGGCCCAGTCCCTCGTCTTCAGCATGTTGGCGAGGCCTTGGCCGAAGTCGTCATCAGCACGGTGCGTCTTCATGATGTGACAGAAAGTCTTTAACTCCAGCTCAGCTGCTCGACCATCCACTCCTGTGGAAGCGCTCGGGCGGGATTTGAGATTGAGATATGGAAAGCGAAAACATCGATTAAGAACTATGGTGGTGTTGCCACCATTATTTAAAACATGGATACTTGGATCTGCATATAGCGAGACGACATTGTGAGTGCTAGGGATACGTGCATGGAGGGACCGAAAACATACATACCAGGAAGCTTGTTGTCAAACAGCTCCAGGTTCGACTTGACCCAAGTGCGCGCTCTTCGTTCCCGCACGTCCTGCTTCTTCGGCCATGTGTCCACCTTGTACAGCTTCGACCCGGCCATCCGCTTCAGGTCCCACATCCTCTGGTTCAGGTTCTGCACGGTGTCTTCAGCAAAGGCGGTGCACAGCGTGATGCAGGCCGCCTTGGTGCCACCGTACTTGTGACCGGGCAGGGAGCTCTCCACGAGCTTGAAACTGTGGGAAACCGGGCGTCCGTCGTCATCCGCGCCGTGCACCACCACCTTGCCTTCATTCTCGTCATAGCTCTGCAGAAACTTGCTAAGCCGCTTGCTCAGCCCCGCGCCGAAGGTCTCGCCATACTCCACGTAGCGATGCTTGATGTACGTGACGGTGCGGTCGACCTCCTGCGAGACAAGGGTGATGTCGACCTGATGTGAGGGGGGGGTAATAAAAGCAGTGACAAGATGCGAAGAAGATAAGTTATTGTCGAAATTGAAGAAAGTCCACAATCCAACACATGACAACAGGCAACCGACGGCATGAAACACAGAGACCAACGGGATATGGGACAAAAACATACCGACCGCTTCTGGAAAAACCTGTTGAGCGTGTTAAGCTCAGCGAGGATGTCAGCCAGAAAGTATAAACAGAAGTGGAACTTCAGCGTTTTGACCACTGGAACCAGCTTGTGGTTGTACTCAATGAGCACAGCGATTACAGCGCCGAGGACCCTGCAGAGTCGATTTACGGCATCTCCACGAGAAAGCCACCGGATGTTGAAGAGCCCTTGGTGCTCGAGGTTCGTGTTGTGGATGATCAGCTGGAGCTCCTTGAACCTCTCGTACCACGGTGTTGAACGCCCAACAATCTCGCCGAAGCCACGGATGACACTGTCGATGATCCAGAGGTCGGGGAAGGCGCTGGCCGCATCCTTCACTGCAAGGGCCTCACTGCGAGATACAAAGAATCATGCAAGGTCGAGCAAGTAGCATGGATAACAAATAGTCCGACATGCATTGCCTGCGAGGAAACGGACTCAATCCGTCGGAGCTGCAAGGGGGAAGACAAGTGTGGCTCAACCTGCATGAGCTCACCGATGTGCAATACAGTGACAGCCAACGAGATGCGGAATGCGCACCCGAAGACGCGCTACCAGACCGTTGTGCTCTCCTGTCATGACAGACGCCCCATCCGTGCTGATGCCCGCCACCTTGTGAAGTTCGATGCCGCAAGAGTCTAGGTGCCCGAGTAATGCCGTCTGAAGAGCTGCTGCGTCGCACTTGTCGAGAGAAAGCAGCGTCAGGAACTCTGTGACGACTCGCCGCTTCTTCAGGAACGTCGCGAAGACGATGAGATGTTTGCCACGGGTTCTGTCAGTTGACTCGTCGCAGCTCAATCCGATGAAGGGTGATGCGTGGATATGCTGCATCTGCTGTGCTTTCAAGTACGCCACCATTGCGCGCACCATTTCCTTGAAGCCGTATCTGCACTTGGAAGGGCATGGAAAAGCCGGAATTAACTCGATGATTGATACGACAGCGGAGCAGTCGCAATTTCACCAAGAAATAGTACCAAAAATCATGAGGCACCCCGGTACTTACTGCGTGATGTAGACGCCATAAGTCTGCTTCGGAATGTCCTCGACACCCTCCTCCGCCATGAACCCGACGAGCCGCGTGAACATGGCGATCGGGGCATCCTCCTTGCATATGAACAGCATAGTTCGAAGTAGACGAATGATCCTCGCGCCGTCAGGGTCGTGCTTCCCGAAGTCCTCCATTTTCTTCTGATTCTCGACCTCCTTCAGCAGCGCCTCTTGCTTCCTGACGGCATTCTCGTGCCTTGTGCTCTCCTCATGCCAACGCATCGAGCCAATCTGGAGATCCCGTCCACCAGCACCGTTGCGCCCGTATCGTGCGTGGTCTTTGCCGTGCTCCATGCAGATACTGCAACGCAAGCAAGGTGCACCATCGTTAGTCTTATCCAGCACTAGCCAGGGGAATTTCGGTAACCAGTCGGCAGTGTACTTCCGTTGCGCAGCAAGATAGGCCTTCGCCATCTTCTCGGCGGGGGTTAAAGCAGCCGAAGGCAGTTGCTGTGGCACGGGCTCTGGCTCTGGTGGTGGCGGAGACTTAGGGGGAGGCGGCGCGAACGGGAGATAAGTCTGGTTGAAGCGACGCTTCTTTTCTGAGGCGGACGCAGGAGTTGAGGCAGGAGTTGATGCCGTTGATGTGGACGCTGGGGTTGATGCAGTGACAACAGGTACAACTGAAGGTTCGGCGACAGGACCAGCGTCAACCATAGCCTCCAAATTCCTGTCCCATTCCTCACTACTGAGAGAAGGCAGAGGCTGTGGCTCAACTGGAGCGGTAGCAACTCGACGGAGAAAGTCGAGCCCGCTAAGAGGGAGCGATCTAGGAGTTCGCAGATGGACAGACTCGTCGCCACCGCCATCGTCGGGCTCACTCCTGCCAGCCATGACGGCAGTGGCACGAGTGACGACGGGCGGCAGCGACGGCGAAGGTAAGCGGAGGTTTTCTTCTGCTAGGACGTTGTGAGAGATAGCTTTGGTGAAGGGGAGGAAGGGAAGGTTGAACAAGACGAGAGTTTCGTCTGCTCTTCTTGGGGGTGTGTGAATTGTGGGGTGCCTCGGAGTGGGTGAGGGAGTGACGTCGGTCGTGCATGCATGGATGGTGGCTAAGGTCGGCGTGCGGTGGTGAGGGAACTGCTGCCAGCCTTGCAGTGATGCTGCAGTCGTGACCAACCAGCGCGAAGGATGCTGCCAGCAGTGGCAAGGATGGCAGCATATGACGTGCCACTGCCTGGCGGTACGCGTAAAATGACGCGTATTGCGGGATATTGGGGCAAGGCCAGGTACAGGGTACAGGGGAAATCTATAGGTATACCCCCTGTACACTAACCCTCAGAGGGGTACAAATGGTTACTCTGATATAATCAGAGTAAAAAAAAACATCAATTTTTTTACTCAAGGCACTTAGAGTAGTTTTCAAAAACGACTCTGATTTTCAGAGAAACAGAGTAAATTACTCTGATAAAATAGGCCCTGGGCTGTACCCGTTTTTGTCACAAAAACATGATCATAGCATTTTCGTACGCGTACCCCCCGTTTGATGTATCTATAATTGCGTTACTCCAAGAGGGGTATAATGACCCCCGTTGTTGTCGTGTTCCAATGACGGTGCCAAAATAAATATATTATACTACGTCAACATATATTTCACTACACGACGAACGCCGCTTGTCGCGTTTTGTGGTCCGTGCCGAAACACTGCTAAACGCAGATGATAATTAATGGTGTTGTTTGCACATTTTTGTACGAAAATCGCAAAGAGTATTGTTGGTGTAGGGGCAGTAACACAATTTTGCGTGGAGTTTCAAAGGCGAACGCGCTGCGGTTTGATGTGTCCCTCAGGATTCCTGTGGCCGTCAAATACGTGACACGCACGTTACCCCATGCTGGTCACCTGCGGGTGACAACGAATGGAGTTTTGGCCGAGTGGGACACGGGGGACTGGTGCACAGCGACACGAGGGTTACCCTCATGAGGGATACCCCGACAATACCTGTGCACATCATGTGGGTAGAATTTTGCAGCGGTAATTTTTCGGATGATGGCCTATCTAGGGAAGGAGGCTGGCGCGCCACTGCTGGCGAGGGAGTAGTCAGGCAGCTGGTTTCGAAGTAGAGCGCGCAGCTGGGCAAAAACTCCTCCTCAGGCTCGCTCAACGCTTGCTCGCTGGCTCACTGCCCTGATTCTCTTGTAGACGCCGCTGACGGCTGCGGCACGCCATGATGATGATGCTGACGAACGTCTGGAAACTTTCGAGAAGAGCTTTGAGGCGTCTCAAATATGATGACCGGACAGGCACGTTGTGAAAAGAGGCACGTTACAAACATGGACTGGCTGGGAGCGGGAAAGCAGTAGCTACTAAGCTAGTAGTAGCACTACTAGTTCAAAGCAGAGACCAGGCGAATGTTTGGGAGCCATTCAAGGGGACCCACTGAACCTTCGGGAGGAAGGCTCCCTGTATCCGAGCTAGGGCTCTACACCGCGGGCAGAGCCCAGAACTCGCTAAAAGGGCCCAAACCAGGGCCAAAAACGCGGCTCGGGGACCAGACCAGAATGGGTCCCCTGCCCGGCCCAGAGGATCCACTCCCCCCTTGGCGGAAGAGTTCCGCCAGCCTGTGAGGGGACCCAAAATGAGTTCCTGCCTGGACGCAAGTCGATGCAGGAACCCAATTCTGGTCCCCCGGACCCGGGTAGTAAGAAATGAAGAGAATACCCTCGTTTCGGGAAAATAGTTGATGCAAAAAAAAAAAAGCCAAAATGCTGAGAGTAGTAACCATGCGTGCAGTGTACACGAAATCGATTTGGCTGTGCTAAAAAATGCAAGCAACTAGGTACTGCGGCGATGGTGTGACCCGTTTTTCTCTTTTCGCGGTTCTCCCATCTGTTGCCCAACTACAGTGAATTCCAGCGTGTGAACTACAGCTGTTGGACTCGGGCCTTTCTGAGTGGAGCCACGCGCTTTCCATTTTTCCCCCCAACCTTCCCCAACCCCCCCCCCCCCCCCCCCCCAGAGCAACTCTGCGGAGTTGCGTCCGGGGCAGGGGTCGTCGACCGTTGACCACAGTTTGACCACCCCTCCTTTGCGACCCCCCTTCCTCAGCGTCGGTCCCCTCATGGCTCCCAAACATATTGCCAGAACAAAACGAGGGATGAAATGTGAAGGCGAGGCGATGAGGGGAGTCCTGCCTCCACCAGGCGCGGTTTGGTTGGGTGCGCGGTTTGGTTGGGTGCGCGCGGGATGCATACAGCGTCCTTGTTGCGTGATCGGATGGCTGCAGCTGACAACAGGGATGCGAACGACGCCCAATATTCAACGTGAGCACCACATCTAGGGCTTGGGAAATGTTCCGCCGTAGTGTCGCTGGTCCCCAAGGCAATGGGGGGAGCGGGGTTGACTCGCCAAGGTCTAGCTGGCAAACCTCCCTGACCGTGCCTGGCTGGAGGGAAATCAAATAAAACCTACATAAATCGAAGCTTCCACAAACTGTTACACCTTCTTTGATATGGGAAATTTGAGGTACCCCCATAGCCTAACGGATTTGCATTACATACCAGGTGAGAATCGACAAATGGCCGCAGAACATCATTTAGAGTGAGCTTGGCTGCAACTTGGGTTCAAACACATTATTATGTAAATACAGCCAACTTACTCCCACATATAAGCATGTGACAAATTCCAGCCTTAATTTGGCTGCACTAGAATGTTTTAAACGGAGGCTCCTTAATACAGCTGCCATAAGCCCTGACGACAAATCAGTGCACAGGGCACACCATTCTCTCACCGCTCTTGCCCAGCCACTCGGACCAGCATCCCCTGTGCCTCCTGGCTCTCTGTAACCCCCCCTCTCACTGTCACCCCCACTGTACACGCACTCTTCGCCCCAGCAGGTAGGGATAGCAGGGTTGCCACGGCCTTGGCTGCTGGGGAGACCTGAGCCGCCATGGCTGTGCCTCGGCAGGCCCACACCGAGGGGAAGGGGATGGTCCAGGTGCAGGCCAGGGCGAGGGAGGAGGAGGGGGAGGAGGAGGAGGTGGGGGAAGAGATGAAGATCTTGACGGTGCGGAGCGGTTGGGATGGGTTGGTGACGATGATGAGGTAGGTGATCTTGGCGAGGGCGTTGCTGTGAGGGGGAGACAGCAAGAACAATGCAGGGGTTGGGAGGGGTTGGCTACGATGTTGAGGCAGACGATCTTCGTGAGGGCGTTGCTGTGATTTGTTTATAGGAAATGTGACAGAGGGGGTAACATGAGTTTGCTCGGTGGGGAGGGCTTGGGTGGGTCACGAGGGGTTGGGTGGGTAGAGATTGGTTGAGTGGGATTGAAAGGGGTTGGGTGGGTTGAGAGGTGTCAGGTGGGTTGAGAAAGGCTGGGTGAGTTTTTAAGGCCCGCGTCTCATATTTCCTAAGGTAATACGCTTGGTACTAGGTAACATAGCTGCTCTTTGTGCGAGGGCTTGCAAGTGAGTGCGAGAGTAGATACCCAACCTCAGCAAAGAGAAACCAAGAGCGCGTTCTTAGTAAGCGAGGTTTCGGAACCTGGGCTGGGTACACGGAATCAGGACCCGAAAGTGACTCAAGCAACAATTTTTGGGCCCAAAATCAACACTGGAATTGCAACTTTTTGCGAAACTTTGAGAATCCAAGCCCCACCATTTACGCCCTCAACGTTTCGTGGGCTCAAACCAAAGGTAATACGAGTCCGCAGAAATACGAGACTAGAAGCCTCATCAAAGTTGGACCTTCCACGATATTCAAAATTGTCGCAACCCTCGCCCACGCTCTCTCAAAATTTCGCTCCTCGCTCCCCAATCAGACCCTCCCACCAAAGGTAATACCTTTGGTTGGTAGGAAATATGAGACGCGGGCTTTAAGTGGTTCGGTGGGTTGAGAGGTTATATACATGGTGGTGCCGCCTCTAAGTTCTCCTCTTATCAGTAGTTACAATGAGAGGAGGGCTGTGAATCTGCACGATGGTATGTACTCACGTGGCGGATACAGACAAGGTGGTGCCGCCCCTCGCTGCGCCTCCCAGCGGAGCAGCCGCAGTGGGGTAGAGCACTGGCGCCAAGGCAGAGGGGACTGCAAGGGTGAAGGGCGGGTAGGGGGAATAGGGCGGCGGCATGCCGAGGGGTGTCGACGTCAAATGCCAGCCCTCGCTGCTCCTCCCAGCGAAGCAGTCACAGTGGGGTAGAGCACAGGAGTGACTGAGAGGGTGAAACGAGGGGGAGGAAAGATAGAGGCGAGACGTTGAGCCGCGGTGGGGTAGAGTACAGGAGTGAAGGCAGAGGGGACTGGCGGGTGTGGGGGGAAGAGCGAACAGAGGTGACATTTTGAACCGCAGTGGGTTGGATTGGATCACAGGAGTGAAGGCAGCGGGTACTGCAGGAGTGAGGGGACGGGAGCTTAGAGGTGATAACTTGAGCCGCAGTGGCGAGGAGCACAGCAGTGACGGCAGAGGGAACTAGGGGGGTGAGGGGAGAGGAGATTTGGCATGAAGAGTTGTGTCAGAATTCAAACGATGCTACCCCCCTTAGCAACCGCAGGGGCGTAGAACACGGGAGTGAAGGCAGCGGGAAATGCAGGGAATGAGGCGAGGTGCCATGTTGAGCTGCAGTGGGGTAGAGCAAAGGAGTGAAGACAGAGGGGGCTGTAGCTTGTAGTGGGAGAGGGGCAGGGAGTGTTGGAGTGGTTCCGCCACCCACAACGGACTACTCGTGACTTGGGGTGACGAGGAGAGAAGTGCGGACTTGGGACGAGAAGGAACTAGGAAGCGGGTATTGCGTAAGCGTGGGGTGTACGGAAAGGGGAGAAGCAAGAGAGAAGATTGGTGGAAAGAAAGGAGATGGAGGAGTTGAGTGGAAGAAACAGATTGACGTGGGGCAAAAGTTGGGTTTCGGACGGGGCGTGTTCAACAAGCATTCGGACTTCGGACCGACGGCGTGTTCAGCAAGAAAGTCGCGATTGCGTGTGCGACTCGGCATGACACGAGGCGCGCGAGTTACTCGCAGCGCACACGGCAGTTACGAAGCACAAAATTGCTTGTACTTCCACTATAAATATGTTTGAACATTTATGCTTTGTATCTCATTGGAACTAGTGGAATGCTTGTGTGTATTGACAACTTGCAACCACTTTGAGATCAGATTATGAGGCAAGGCCCTTGAGGCTATTTGCACAAGTATTTCTAAATATTCTTTTCGCTGTGCCGAAGGCGATAGTCGCCTAGAGGGAGGAGGGCTAGGAATGCGAGAGGGCACGTGGAGGGGTAACTTCATCACATGATCAAGTTGTCCCAGCAATGCTGCTGCGGTGTAAGGGATGCAGAGGGGTGCAGAGAGGTGCAGGGTGGATAGCAGCATGGAGGGACATGATCTTTCTTCAGAGAATTAGTTGGTTCCCTCACCCCCTCTCTCCCACTGCGCTCAATCTCACCACAATCCATCTCACCCCTCTGCATCTCACCGTTATAGAACGCCTTGGCTCGAGTAAGCGCGCCAATGGTGCTGCTTCCAGCGCCCACTACCGTAGCAGAGAACCCAATGCCACTGTTGCCACTGGCAGTGTTGCTGCTATCACTTGCAGCCCCACCATTTGCACCACCACCAGCAGCAGCAAAGAGGGCGGCAAGAGGAGCAGCAGGGAGGGAAGGAGAGGCCGAAGAAGCAGCAGCAGCGGAGGAGCAGTGCCACACGGATGGAACGGGCTGGGAGCAGGCGAGGGGGGGGAGGAGGATGGCGATACTGGGCTGCTGCTGCTGTCTCTGATATAAGGCGATCCGTTTGGGTGCAGTGGCTGTTCCGGTAAGCACGAGAGTGTAGCGGAGATTGTATCTTGTGGCACTGTGGAAAGGAGAAGAGGAAGGGGTTGGTTGAGAGGGTAGCGGGTATGCATGTCAGATTCGACTAAACCAATTGATCCTTTTGGGTATTAGATGCCGTATTTTCTGACTGAAGCACTGGCCTCGGCGATTAAACACATATCTCTATTCCCAGTATACAGCCAACTTGATTGCATGCTTAGAGAGCGCCAATATGTGAGAATTTATTACTTTTTTTGAACGAGCAGGCTGAGAGTTCCGGCAGCCCCCTTGCCTGAAAGACTTGCCAGCAGGCTCACTGCAAACCGGAATGGGGGGCAATGGCAGAAGGATAAGGGCTGAGGGTTCAGGCTTTAGGTTTCATACGTGAGGCACCTTGGATGGTGGATGGTGGGCTGTGGCGTTGCTGATGGTAATGACGGATGGTCAGGTGCACGCAAGACTGCATGGTATGTTGGGGCCATGATTCCGTTTTGAAAGAGTAGAAGCTGGAGGTGATGGAAGGTGTGAGGTGACATTGAGAGAGGGAGGGTAGGAGGGAGTGCTTTGCCTCTTACAATCTGTTTGAAATGCGTTTTGAGCTTCACCGATTTTGAGCTTCACTCCACCCGGTGGAAACCCACACAACAATGTGCAATCCATTAACGTATTTAAAATATTCAAATCCCATACCTCGATGGCAAAAATCAACTTCGATGCCGAAACATCCCGCAGACCCCTAGAAAAATGTTCTCACCTTGTTCAGTCAGGGCTTGCGCGCCACGCACAAAAGCCAGCAGCGATATCGCGAAACCTGGTAACAAGATGGTGTATCAAATGTTGAAGATGACTGGGGTAGCATGAATTTCGAGTAGGTTTTGGATAAAAATGGAGAGAAATCTAAACGGTAGCGACAAGTGGTGGCGACGCGTAAATGTGGGAGCAGCGTAGAATTCACACCCATTTGCGAAATTCGCGAGAGGACTGAAATGAAGGGACGAAAGCTTGGGTGAATTGACAGCAGACGCCCGATGGTGCTGGCGAAACAACGCGAGGACCTAAAGTTTAGCGTGCGTGGAGAGGGGAATGACAGGGCGGGGAGTGGTCAGGGAGTCAGGGGGGGGGGGGGGGGGGGGGGTGGGGGAGGGTGATGTAAGAAGTGGGGCCCCGCTGGTTCAGACGTACAGAGGAGGCTCGTAAGGATTGGGCAGAACGAAGGCTGAAATTGCCGCCTAAGCAACTGCTTCGTTCGCGCCGCCATGGCTTTAACTTTGATTCCTCGGCTTGTCTCGAGAAAAATGATAACGGGAAGCGGGAGGCCCGACAGGAACGCAGTAACGAGAAGAGCAAGATGGCCTTGTGTGTATCGAGCCGATTCTCTACTTTCTCGATGTTAGAAACAGCACCATAATTGAACCCGCGAGATAATGACGTTATTTGACGCGGCGAAAGAAATCTAGGAGACACGGAGCGCGCTGAAATAGGAGCTGTGCTGCCAAAGAGCCTTACGTGTCACTTATAATCGTCCCGCGTGTTCCGATCGAGGCAAAGGAAAAGGAAACTCGATACCGCACTGCAGCTCTGTGGGTGAGATATGTCTGGCTTTGAAGAAAGAGCAGCAATGACTAGTACTAGCCACCAGCCTGTCTCTCTTCGGTCCTCGCCTGGGATGGCCATGCTTTGCAATTATTGGCGCAGTTCCCATTTTCATCAATCTCTGCTCCTTCCTCGCTCGAAATGTGCGCTGCGGCGAAGTGGACTGGAAGCGCGCCAGCCGTCGATGATGAATTTGACGAGCTGCGCGTGAGATGCGGAAGGCCAAGGAAGAGTAGGCTGAAGTGACGAGGGACAATAATCGCGGAAGCCGCAAGTGCAGGCCCTCGTTATTGACACTCCAGGCGTCCCTGCATCCGAAACAACTACAGTAAAGCGCTAGGTGATAACACCATTGCTCAACTCACAACCTGTATTAGAGCCAAAATTGCCTCCCATAAACGCCTTTGAACCCACACCACACCAGCCTTGCACAGATAAGCGTCTAGAATATTATCTGCATTTGTTAATCGTCTTTAAAAGAGACCCTCACTCTGAGCACACCTGCTAGCTTCTTATCATTCACATTCAACACCCCTCCAGCTATAACACCCATCTTCTCCCCACCCTCCTCCCCGTTCGCACAGCCCACTCCATCCATGAGCTCTTTGAGTGGCTTGGAAAGGTTCGGCCGAGTTGCCTCTTCGAGCACCGCAGGGGCGCGCATGTAGAGATTGGACCCGTAGAACGAGACGGACGGCGCTTGCAAACGGGCAGCGAACCGAGGGTCGGCCAATAGCTGGTCAATGAACTGCGCAAAGAAGAGAAATTGAGGGCATGGGGGGAGGGAAAGGGAAAGGAATGGAAAGACAAATTTTTGGCCTCTCCCCAGTACCCACAGGGGCACAGGGGTAGAGGTTGGACCCATAGAATGAGACGGACGGTGCTTGCAAACGGGCAGTGAAACGCGGATCAGCCAATAGCTGGTCAATGTACTGCACGCAGAAGAGAACGCGAAGCCGTCATGGGGGATGGCGGGGCGGGAGAAGGGCGAGGTGGGGGAGGCGTGAAAAAGAAAGACATGTTTGAGTTGCCTCTCAAGCACTGCAAGCACGAAGGTGGAGATTGGACCAGTAAAACGAGACGGACAGCGCTTGCAAGTGCGCAGTGAAACAAGAGTCAGCCAGCAGCTGGTCAATAAATGGCAGAGAGATTGAAAGAGAAACTGGTTACGGGGAACAGAAAGGGGGACGAGTTGCTGCAGAGAGCAACACCAGCTGCAAAGTGAAACAAAACTCGGATATAGTACCATGCTGCGCGCCAAGTACCATGCTGCGCGCCAAGTACCATGCTGCGCGCCAAGTACCATGCTGCGCGCCAAGTACCATGCTGCGCGCCAAGTACCATGCTGCGCGCCAAGTACCATGCTGCGCGCCAAGTACCATGCTGCGCGCCAAGTACCATGCTGCGCGCCAAGTACCATGCTGCACGCCAAGTACCATGCTGAGCGCCAAGTACCATGCTGCGCGCCAAGTACCATGCTGCGCGCCAAGTACCATGCTGCGCGCCAAGTACCATGCTGCGCGCCAAGTACCATGCTGCGCGCCAAGTACCATGCTGCGCGCCAAGTACCATGCTGCGCGCCAAGTACCATGCTGCGCGCCAAGTACCATGCTGCGCGCCAAGTACCATGCTGCGCGCCAAGTACCATGCTGCGCGCCAAGTACCATGCTGCGTGCCAAGTACCTGCTGCAGAGAAGCGGTGGAGGGCACGGTGACAGGGACTCCAGCACTACACACAATGCACTCGGGGTCGCGCTCATAGGCGACGGTGTGGGAGTAGACACCCTGTGTGCCCACGTACCTAGAGGGGTTGGGCATTAGAAAGAGCAGGTGGGGTGGAGGGGGAGTAAGTCGTGTGTATCGAGGTGCCTCGGATCACTCGGGGTCCCTCTCATACGCCACAGAGTGGGAGTAGACGCCCTGTGTGCCCATGCACCTGCACACAATGGGAGGGATACGAGGAAAAGTGGGAAACGGAAGTCTTTCCAAGCGTGATCAGGGGGCCTCATCAGGGCACTCGGGTCGCGCTCATATGCCATGCTGTGGGAGCAGACGCCCTGTCTGCCCACTTACGTGTGAATAGCATGACACGAGGGGTTTAGGGAAAGAAGTAGGAGAGGGAAGCGTAGCATAGTTGTTTGAAAAACAATACGGAGATGCCAAGAGATATAAGCAAATTCACTCACATCACAAAGCTCATCATGCATACAAGAACACTCACTTTCATCACATAGTTTTCACGTATATAAGCCCATTCTCTTTCATCGCATGATATCTTAAGACATGTAAGCACATTCACTTACATCACGTAGTTATTCATGCCAGCGGAGCACATTGTAGCGATCTTGAGAGTCTCCAGTGCACACACCGCTGATATGATGGCGTTGGTTGATGCTATAGCGGGGATAATGTTCTTCACCACTCCCTGTATGGAATGCCATGTGATTGTGTGACGCAAAAAAGGGAGAATGTGGCATTGCAACGAGAAGAGATGGGGAGAAGTAGAAGGATCAGGTTGGGGAATCAGGGAGAAGGCGACAGGCTTGAGAACAGGAAATGACGGCGGAACCTAGCTGCGTAGAGCTGTGTTAAACTGTCAAGCCCAGCTGGCGGAATATGGAAGACGTACCACAGTGGCAAGTGGCACAGCGGGAAGGTGGATGGGCACTGTGGGATGGCACGTACGTGGTGTGGCAACATGGAATACACCACACATTCCACTCTCTGTTTCTCAAACCTAGGTGCCACAAGGCTCACCAGATGCACCCTATGCGCCACATGTACTTAACACTCCACTGCGCTCTGCTTGCATTCGGTAGGGTGAACAGTACTAGTACCAGGCCACTCCACTATAACTTGGGTGTACGAGAGGGTGCATACAGGGAGCCATCGAGAGCGGAATGGCTCACTGAGGAGAGGAAGATAGCGGCCCTGGTGATTCTGGGTTGATGAGTCGGCTACTGAGTGCAGCGTGCACTGGGAGTTGATTGGCCTCACCTGGGTGAGGGAGAGAGTGACCCCAGCAATGCTGTGCTGCTGTGCGCGAATGAGAGCCTGGAGGGGAGGAGACGAGGGAGGGGAGTGAGGAAGGGAGGGGAGGGAGGGGAACGAGGGGGGAGAAGGGACAGGAGGGGGGGGGAGGAGAGATAGGACAGGGGCAGTAGGATCACCACAATGTTGCCTTGTGACAGGTGGAAGGGAGAATGGCAGAGGGTGAGCAAACAAAGGAAGATGAAACAGGCATGCACGCTTCACCTTCTGGTAGATCCACTCTATGTGCTCCAAGTTGTCTGAGTCAAAGCTCTCCCCTGGCCGCTCCTGGCAGTAATGGAGTGAGGAGAGGAGAGGAGGGGAGAGGAGAGATGGGAAGAGAAAAGAGTAGAAGAACGAAAGGCAAAGAAGAAGAGCAGTCACAAGGAGAAAAGCGGGGATAAGCGAGAGGACGAGACAGAAAATGTGAGGAGGGGGGAGCAAGAGAGACGAGAGAGCAGGACGGGGCGAGGGAAGGAGGGTGACGAATCTGCCCTTGGCTTACTACAAGACTGCGGCCCCCCTCTCCACTCACACTTCCCCCCACCCACTCTCACTCCCCCCCCCACTCCCCCATCTCCCCCTCACCCTCTCACCTCTCCTTGCGAACAAGAGAGGGGTTTCAGCCATGGTGCAGAGAAAGAACTTGGTTTGAGGAAGAAATCCCCTCCTACCCTCCCTCCCCACTTGCTAAGCTCCCGCCCTCCCCCTAACCCCCCCCCACTTCACGAGGCGCGCATATTCCATGCAGTGCGCGGGCGACCTAGGCGCTTCCGCCAGGCCGCAGAGGGGAACTTGGTCTGGGGGGGAAGATCCACAGCGCGCACTGGAAACATGGGGTCACTTCCTTGAAACCCTCTATCTCATTCCCTCACCTCCCCCCACTGGATGAGGTGAGCGTATCCAATGCAGTGAGCGGGCGGCCGAGGGAGCCCAGCCAAGGTGCAGAGGGGGAACTTGGTCTGGGAGGGAAAGCGCCTCAGCTCGCTCTGGAAGCAAGGGGCCACTCCCCTCGAAACCCTCCACTCCATTCTCTTACCTCTCCCCACTGAACTAGATGAGCATATTCAATGCAACGCGCGGGCCACCTAGGCGTTTCAGGCAAGGTGCAGAGGGAAAGGTTGGTCTGGGGAGGGAAGAGCCACAGCGTGTAGTGGAAGAAGGCAGGGCGTCTCTCCCCTTGAGAGCCGCCATCCATGCCCTTCCCCCTACTGAAGAGGCTGCTCACCTCTCCCCACTGAATCAGGTGCGCATATTCGATGCAGTGAGCGGGCGAGCGGGGGGTTTCAGCCAGGGTGCAGAGGGGGAACTTGGTCTGGGGGGGAAAGAGCCACAGCGTGCACTGGAAGCACGGGGTCACTCCCGGGATGATCACTCGCGCATGGCCCTTGAAGCCCTCCGTGCCGCCGTCTACCATGGGACGGATGGACGCTAGATCCAGCTCGCCATCCGCAGAGTACTCTGGAGAAGGGTAAAAAAGGAGGCAAGGAGAGAAAAGACGAGTATGATGACCCCTCCATGCCCCTTGAAACCTTTGAAGCCCTCCGCGCCCCCATCTGCCGTGCCCCCATCTGCCGTGCCCCCATCTGCCGTGCCCCCATCTGCCGTGGGACGGATGGATGCCACATCCAGCTCGCCATCGCGGGGATGGTGTAGTGGAATGGGCAATGAAGGTGAAGAAGAAAAGGAGGAACAATGAATGAGTACGATCAACCGCACAAGGCTTTTGCAACCATAAAAACCCTCCGTGCCCATGTCTGCCATGGGGCGGATGGACGTTGGACAATAGGCGTGCTCGCCGTCAGGAGAGCACTCTGGTGGAAACGGTGATGAGCACAGAAGGAGGAGCGGACGACGAAAGAATGTGGGATCGCACGCACAGGCCCCTGTGCCCCGACAAATGTGGGGCGGGCCGCCGGTGGAGCCTGCCATCCAGGGTGCACTCTGGAGAAAGAGATGACTGGTAAGAAGAGTGAGAGAGGACGGTGTTGGCTTGGCAGGTGGGCAAGAGGTCCAGTAAAGAGAGAAAGCAGGCGGGAGATATGGGGAACCGACGCAATGACGCAAACCCCGTGGTCGCACCTAAGAAGCCGCAGACGAGGCTGTTGATGTAGGAGCGCGCCTCGAGGGAGTCCAGCCCGAGCACTATGATATTGAAGTCGCTGAAGAACGACGCGGGCTTGTCCTCGATGCGGCAGAAGTGGGGCGTTACCTGGTGAAGGGTGGGGAGAGCAGTGGTGAGGGGCACAGGGGAAGCGGGAAGGGGGAGAGTGGGGGGGTGGGGGGGGGGGGGGGGGGTGTGGGGGTTAGCGAGAGACGGTTGAGGCCCAACACTACGGAGCAACATGCAAATCACGATGATGTTGAAGTCACTGACGGAAGATGCAGGCTTGTCCTCTATGCGGCAGAAGTGGAGGGGCACCTGAAGAAGGAAGGGAGAGGTTGTGTACAGGTGAGGACAGATTCACCCAGAATTTGCAAGCCACCAATAATAGTAAGCCACCAGCTGTCATTTCGCAGCCACTACCTTGGTAAGTTACCCAGAAAAAGCAGGGCAGGGATCATGGGTGGTGTGGTGGGGGTGGAGGACGAGGGTGAGAGGCGAGGATGCTGTGGAAAGGTCAAGCTGGCTGAAGGTAACCAGTAAGGAGTAGAAGCCACGATGGCAGGAAATAGTCTGGCAAGGCATGACATGGCATGTAGACATGGCATGTAGACATGGCATGTAGACATGGCATGTAGACATGGCATGTAGACATGGCATGTAGACATGGCATGTAGACATGGCATGTAGACATGGCATGTAGACATGGCATGTAGACATGGCATGTAGACATGGCATGTAGACATGGCATGTAGACATGGCACATAGACATGGCACCCCATGCCACCATGCCTACAAAATCAGTCAGCCCTTCAAACACCCTTCATTTCAGCCCACCAACAGCGCACCAGCTAGGAGAGGGCCACACAAACCTCTGCAAACCCCCCTGGGGTCCCTCCACCCACCTCCCCCCAACCCCGCACCTCCCTGCCCCGCACCCTCTGCTCCCGTCAGTGCTCTTTCCCCATATCCTTCTCCCCCTCTGCTCACCTTGACCCCCCCCACTCGGCTCATGACACGCTCTGCTGCCACCACTGCCTTGGGCTTGCCCACGTCGGCAGGGCTGCAGGCAGGGGAATGGGGAAGTAAGAGGGACACGTGGGGGCCAGAGGGAGGGGCATGGGGGAGGGGAGGGGAAGGGGGAGAAGTAGACTTGCCACCACTGCCATAGGCTTACCGACGTTGACAGAACTGGATAAGGGGAGAAGGGGGGAGGGACGTTGACAGAAGTGGATAAGGGGAGAAGGGGGGAGGGACGTTGACAGAAGTGGATAAGGGGAGAAGGGGGGAGGGAGAACGAGGTGACGTGGCTGAGAGACAAGGCCATGAGACTCATGCGCTGCGCTGGAAGTGCACTGTTCATCCACTGTAGAAAACTGTTCATGCACGGTGGAAGCACTCCTCATGCGCTGTATATGCACTGCTCATGTACTCTGGATGCACTGATCATGCACCATAGTCCATAGATGCACTGTTCATGCACTGTGGTGCACTGTTCACGCACTGTATATGAATTGCTCATACACTGCAGCAGATGCACTGTTCATCCCTGTCGAAGCCCTGTTGCTGCCCTGTATCTGTGCGCACCCACCGGAAGAGGAACTGGCGGTTGAGGTTGGAGACGTCGATGGTGTCCATGTCGATCACATCGATGCTCCCAAACCCCGACAGCACCAGGTCCTTGAGAAGCTCACAGCCTAGGCCGCCCGCCCCCACCACCAGCACGCGGCAGTCAGACTTGAGGAACTCGCGAATCTGGTTGGCAGGGGGAGCAGGGAAGGGGTTGGGCAGAAAGGAAGGGATGACTCGCATTCGGCGGCCCTTGAGCAGGTTTGTGAGGCGCTTCAAAAGTCGTCGATGGTGTCCGTGTCCATCACGTTGATGCTCCCAAACCCCGACAGCACCAGGTCCTTTAGTAGCTCGCACCCCAGCCCGCCTGCCCCCACCACCAGCACCCAGCAGTCAGACTTCAGAAAGTCGCGGAGGGCGTGGTTGGCGACGGAAATGGCAGAAAAGTGAATCTGGTTAGGGAGAAGAGAAGCGGGTGCATCAGGAGGCAGCACGTCCTTCAGCAGCTCGCACACCAACCTGCCTGCTCAGTGCTGCCAGCACCAGCACGCGGCAGTCTGACTTTAACAAGTGACGAATCAGGTTGGTGGACGGGAGAGAGCAGGGTAGGATGGCAGGGAGGAAGGCAGGAAAGTGGCGAAGGGGTGGAACGGAGGGGGAGGTGAATCACGCCACGCCCTTCAGCAACTCACAGCCCAGTCCAGCCCAGCCCGCCCGCTCCCACCTCCAGCACGCAACAGTCTGACTCTAAGAGCAAGAGGATCACGCCACGCCCTTCAGCAGCTCACCGCCCAGCCCGCCTGCTCCCTCCTCCAGCACTCGGCAGCCTGATGCGAGGAAACTCGCGAATCTGTTCAGCACGAAGGGGGGGTGGGGGGGAGGGGGAGGGGGGGGTTGGGGGGGGTTCTAGGACACGGAGTTGAGTCGAAACGGACACGAGAGCCCACAGGTGGACTGCCAGCTCCCACGACCAGCAAAGCACCTGGCAGGTGACTTTTGAGGCTCCCAATCCCAAGTGGTTGAGTTGAGCAACGAGGAGAGAGAGTGAAGAGCAGGAGATAGGGGAATGCAGGAGGGCAGCGCCTGAATAAGAATGCAGGAGGGCAGCGCCTGAATAGATCTTTGGGTGGGCGGGTGGGCGGGTGGGCGGGCGGGCGGGCGGGTGGGTGGGTGGGTGGGTGGGTGGGTGGGTGGGTGGGTGGGTGACAATCCGAAAGTCCCTCACCCGGATGCTCCCGTGGATTTCGTCATATTGGAGAACGTCAGAGCATGTCGCATCACGCACGCCACGTGCTATGGTGATTCCGAGTCCAACGCAAGAATCCCTAACGGTTCAATGCCCGTGGATTCCGTAAGAATTGAAACCGTCATAGCACGTCCCATTAGTACACATGCTACGCCAGTCAACCGCAGGCCACGGCTACCACCCACATCAGTGGTACTAGGCAGACGCAAGTTAATCAACTGCGTTTTCGCGAATCTCCAGTCGTCGAAGGCGACGAACCGGGGTTAGTAGTTCGGGCTGGATGAGATTCGGATTGCCGCCAGCTGGCATTGGGGGATCGCAGCGCGGCTTGCGGCAGTCAAATGCGTCGCGTTATAACGAGTACGGTAGTACTACCTCCGGTGAAGGTTCGAATCCAGGTCCGACGAGCATCCCTGGTCGCAGCAACAGACGGTCCAGATCTCGCCACTGCCCCTCCAGCTCCATCGCCGCATCTCCCGCTGCCATCGCAGCCGTTCGTCCCAACGCCGAACAACGCGATATACTTCAACTCGAAAACAACGCAAGTGTCGTTCTAGAGACGTCTGTGCCACAACGCAACAAATTCCTAAAAGAGTCTCAGAAACAACGCGATTGGCGAGGGGTGGAGCGTGAAGGATAGGAAGGGTGCTGAAACCGCTGCAAGGCGATCGACCACCTGCAGTGCGCGAGGCCGAACCACAACAAGCTGTACGGAATGCGAGGGAGGCACTCACCTCCTAAAAAACGTCTAGCATTTGGTGTCATGGGTGGCACGCAGAAGGTTATACAATTACTGTAGCATTTTGTCCGCGCTGCTGTTTGTCGCTGTAACGTTATTCTAAGGGCTGCACTCACCAGTAAGTCGCTGTCGGTTAAGCATATGAGAGCCATATAAAGTTGGATTAAGGAGTTACATTATAAAAACAAGGGGCGACGAAATCGTCTTAGGGTTGCGAAGATGATTTCAAAATTTGTGATGGATTAATTACGATGAAGGCCTTTTCCGTATTACGTTTTCTTCATAGTATTGCGTCTGTTCAAGAGGGATTGTATGCCTGAGCTAACTATCCGGCCCCTAGCTCCACCGGCACCTGCTCCGCCATGCAACCGCCCCGCCGCAGTGCTGCCGTGACGCCGTATAGCTGCGCCGCCAGGTCTCTGCACCGCTGTGCCGCTCTGCCGCCCCCGACCTACCAACCTTGGCTCCTTTCTGCGCCGGCACTCCTGCCGGCTGTCTCCACCACTCTTCACCGCACTCCACCTCCCTCCACCATACTCCACCGCTCTCCACCGAACTCCAAGTCACTCCACCGCTCTCCGCCGCCCTGTCCTCCCCCTTTCCTCCTCTCCTTGTCAGTGGCAGTCAGCTCCTGCAGCAGTGGTGATGGCAGACTCACTGCTCCGCCTGGACGCGGAGGGTTGGGCGATCGACTTCGAGGCGTGGCTCGTCGACCTTCGCCATCACCTTACAGGTCAGCGCCAGGACGGTCACTTCCTGGCTGTTCATGTCGATGGCCTGCATCCCCACCCCGCTGCGCCTGTTGCTCTCCCTGCTGCTCCCACCACTGCTGAGCGTAAGCCCATTTCCGTTAGTGCGCTTGCTCGTGCTGTCGGGGACTCGCGCGACGTCGTCGTGTAGTTTTCTATCAGCCGCGAGCTTCCCCTGTCTGAGCGTCCCCGCTTTACCACTGTAGCGAACGCCCAGGAATTCTTAGATGCAGTCATCTCTCGCTATTCCACCCCCGCCTCAGCCTCTGCTGACCGCTCGATCCTCCCCATGCGGTTCCCTAATCTCGCGTCCTTCCTTACTGTCGCCGACCTGGCCACTAACCTCCGTGCACTTGAGACTAGCTATCGCGGCGCTAGCACTGAGGCTCAGCTCACTGCCTTTCTGCCGCCGCTTTGCGCTACCCTCTACCTCATTGCCACGCTACCCTCTAGCCACTGCCCGTGACCACTTCCTTAGTTTGCACCCAAGTGACCACCCATACCGCCTTTGTCACCGCCCTATCCGCGATAGAGACCCGCCAGCGCACTATCGCTCAGTCTAGCGGTACTGTGGCGGTCATTATCTTTCAGGGCTGTGCTTCCTCGCAGTGCTCTTACTCTGACGTCTCTGCTGCTGTCGCTAAGACAGCTCCTGCTGCTGCGGCCTAAGCGCAGCCGCGTCAGGGTAGGGGCTGCCGCCTCAAGGGGGGGCGTGGAGAGAGAAGGGTGGTGGGGGTTGGGGAAGGGGGGGGGGACGGTGGTTCTGACGAGGGGACAGCAGCAGCAGCAGCAGTTAGGCCGCCTCCCGTCGAAGTGACCCAGTGCCTCTGGTGTTGGTAGCCACGGTGACGGCCCTCGCAGCTCGGCGTCGGATGGCAGCTTCGGCGCTGTGGGTTGCCAGTACCAGACCGGCACCTTCCGCGGCAGTGTGTATGGTCGTACCAGTCACACTGCCGCCTGCTGCATCCGCCGCCTCGACGATCTCTTCCGTCTTCGCTTCGACCTTGCGCCGGACCTTCCCGACTGGCCCAGTCTGGTGCGTTGCCATGTGCCTGTCTTTGAGATGGATATGGATCAGCTTTGCTCTGCATTGCATGCCATGTATCACTCTAGTGTGATCGGACCTTATTACCCTGTGTTGCCTAGTGTAGGTGTGCCTCATATGTGTAGTCTAGGCTCTCCTGTTGCGTCAGGCGTAGGATCATCAGCCTTGCTTAGCCTAGGCTCCAAGATAGCCCCTCCGCCGGCCGTCGCTACCGCTTTGCTCTGGTTCATGCCTGACTCTGGTGCGTCTGCCTGCTTCTTCCGTGACCACACTGCGCTCACGCCGCTTGCCGCCCCTACCGCTGTCATGCTTGCTGGCCCCTCCTCCAGTACGGTAGTTGCCCGTAGCTCCACTACCCTTCCCTGTCTGGCGGTTTCCCTCAGGCTCCCTTACAAGCCTGCACATCCCCTCATTCTCCAGGAACCTAGTTGGTGTCGGCTGTCTTCAGGACCTCAGCGTCACCACTAAGTTCCCTAGCAATGCGCGCTACGCAGTCTGTACCGAGGCCGTCACAGGTGCCCCCCTTACAACGTTCTCCCGGGACCCAGTGTCTGGCCCGTTGACGCTCGACACCAAGTCCCCCCTTGTGAGGGCGTCCCCTTAGGTGCCTGCATCTACCCAGGTTGCTGCGGCTTGCTCGTGTCGGTCGCTCACTCACCCGTCGCTTCTGTGGCACCACCGCCTAGGTCACCCCGCACTCCCGCGCTTGCGTCACATGTCTCAGCACGGTCTTGTCCTAGGTCTCCCTGCGACGCTCCCTGCCCTCCCTCCCTCGCCTGCACCGCCGTGCACGCACTGCGTTGAGGGCCGACTGTGCCGTGCTCCCGTGGGTTATAGCTACGCGCATCCACCACGTTCTCCCCGTGCTGTGTCTCCACTCTGACCGTAGCGACGAGTTTGCCTCCAGTTGACTTGGACAGTTCTGTCGTGCGGAGGGCATCACCCAGGGCAACACTCTGCCGGACTCCCCGCAGCAAAATAGGGTCGCTGAGCGATGCATTGGTTTGGTCATGGAGGTGGCTCGTACCTCCATGATCCATGCCAATGCACCCCATTTCTTGTGGTTGTTCGCTATTCGCTACACCGCTCACTAGCTTAGCCTGTCGCCGCACTCCCAGCGGCCGCAAGTTTCGCCGACCATTCTCAAGACTGGGTTACCTAGTGACGCGTCCGCATTCCACGTTTGGGGCTGCATTGCTCACGTTTGTACCTCTGGCACGGACAAGCTCACTGCCCGCAATGTCCCATGTGTCTTCCTTGGTTTCCCCCGTGACTCGTCTCACTGGCACTTTTACAACCCGCCGTCTCACCACTTCTTTCACTCGCGTGACGTCACTTTC